GGGGGGTGTTGGTGTCCTATGGGGGGGGTTGGGGGACTGTGAAGGGGGTGCATCAGAGTGCAACGATGGGTTTTGGGGGGCCGCCGGGAGATTGATGGGGGTCTGCGGGGGATACTGGAGTGCTGTGGGAGGTGCTGGGGGGATGTAGGGGGTCTGAGGGGGATATTGGGGTGCCATGGGGAGTACTGGAGGGATCTTAGGGGAGGCTGAGGTCTGTGGGGTATCAGTGGGGGGCATGAGGTGCTACTGAGACCCTATAGGGAACAATGGCGAGTTTATGGGGTGCTATAGGGGCCTCAAGAGGCTCTCTGGGGGGCTGCGGTGGTTTCATATGGGGCTCTACAGGGTATCTATAGGGCTCTACGTGGGGCTTTGGGGTCTCTAAGGGGTTCCATAGGAAGCTCAGGGGCCTCTATAGGCATTACAGGATCTCCATAAGGGCCCATGTAGGGCTACAGAGTCGCTATACGGGGCCCCATAGGGATTCCGCTGGGCTCGATACGGGGCGATGAGATCTCTACGCGGCTCTACGGTGTCTCTAAGCGGCCATAGGTTCTCTGCAGCTCCCTACGGAGCTCGGAGGGTCCCTGCGGGGTTCTGGACCGTGGGGCCCACCGGGCGGATCCGACCGCACAGCGCAGGGCCGGGCCCGGGAGTCCCACGGCGGAGCTGTGGAGCTCCAGACCGCCGCGGGATTAAGGGCCGAGCTCGGGGCCGCGCCGTTACCGTCCGCATCGGGGCCGAGCGGCTCCGGCTGCTGCTGAGGGACCTCCGCCGCCATCTTCCGCCGCTGCCCCGCCCCGCGCTGCTCTTCCGGGGCACCGGCGACAGAGAAGAAGCACTTCCGGGGCAACGGCCGCCCCGCCGGAAGTGAGCCCTGGGAGCTGGAACCCGCCCCTAGCAACAGCGGGGATGGGAAGCCCCGCCCATAGCAACCAATCCAGCCCCTGGCAACGGACACGCCCCCTAGCAACAGGGAGAGTCCTTAGAGACGGGCTGGGATCCTGGCAACGGGAAACGCCCCTAGCAACAGGAAACGCCCCTAGCAACCAGCCCGGCCCATAGCAACAGGAAACGCCCCCAGCAACGCGAAACGTCCCATAGCAACGGGGAAAGTCCCTAGCGACGGGACACGCCCCCTAGCAACCAATCTGACCAATGACCGCCCCTAGCAACGGGGGACGGCCCCCATCAACCGCCAAAGATGCCCCAATCTGCAGCGTGACGTCACAGCGCGACGTCACATAATGGCGTCAACCCCCCTCAACAACACACACACGGAAAAATTGGAGGAGGATGCGGCCTAAGAGGCCTTTATTGGGGAGGGGGCGCCCGTAGGCTCCAGGTTCGTGGAGAAGAGGTCCTTGGCGGCGTTGGTCCCAGAGCGACGGGTGAGGACTCACTCCCGCTTCTTGTAGTCCTCGAGATTCGCCAGGACCCACGCGGCGGGGCCCAGGCAGGTGACAAACATGGCGAGCAGGCCCACGACGGTCTCCTGCGGGCACAGCGGCAGTCAGAACCCTCTCTCCAAGGTCACCCCCCTCCCCGAGCCGCCCCCGGAGCTCACCGCAGTCCCCACGGGGTGCTGGGGCGGCCCCGAGATGATCCCGCGCGGGGCCGGACCGGGCCGGACGGCGGAGCGGAGCAGGGACCGGGCGAAGTGTCCGACGAGCGGCATGGCAGCAACGACCTGAGCAAGGCGGAAGTCCAGCCGCACTTCCGGCGGAAGGGGGGAGGTGGGAAAAGGGAAAGATCTTGTGCTGCTATTGGTTGATAGGAACCGCTCTCCCAAAGCGCTCATTGGGGCAGAGCCCTGTGGGCCACGCCCCCTCAGCGCAAGCCAAGGCCCCTCCTGCCCGGAGGGCCGAGCGCCGCAGTGCATGCCGGGAGGTTTCTTTCATTGCTAGGAACCACGCGCGCGGGGGATGCCGGGAAACGTAGTCCGATAGCACAAACTCTACAGGTTTTATTTGTAACGTACAAACCGGAGCGGCCAAAACGGAGAAAAACGGGCAAAAATCCTTGTTTAAATCCCCAAAGTGAGAGCCCCACCACAAGCCATGTGGGTGGAGGGGTGCTAAGGTTCACCCTATGACGGTGAATACAACCTGAAGGCCCCCAGAACACGGAGGTGACAAACAGGGGAGTGCAGCCAGGCCGGCTGAGCCAGTTTTGGGTGCAGATAGAGATACAGGGTTCGGGTGCAGGGGCTCAGTGGCAGCAGGTGCCGCAGTGCCCAGCAGCAGGGAGTTGGTGACCGTCGCCGAATTTCGTCCTCCGGCTCAGGACCTCATAGGAGCAGTCGTCCCCACAGCAGCCTGAGACGCTGGGCGAGGAATCATCGATGTCAAACCTGGAGGAGAAGGTCCAGGAGGTCAGCAGAGGTTCTGCATCACCCTCCTGGGCAGCTGCGGCCTTCAAGGTACAGGGGGGGGGAAAGGGGGGGGGGGGGGGGGGGGAGTTGTGGTTGAGGGAGTGAAGCGCTCGCGCGAGGAGAAATCAGAGGGGCAAAAAGAAAAACACCAAATGGGGTTAAAACCCGAGGCCACGGGGTGAAAAAAGGGCTCAGAGAGCCCTAGAGGGGGTTAAAAAGTAGCTGGAAGGGGGAAAAAGGGGCTTGAAAAGGAAAACAAAAACCATCTCCGTAACGTCAAAACACAAAGAGGCTTTAAAAGGCTTCGAAGGAAGAAAAAAGGAATAAAGAAAACCTGAAGCCTGCAGAAAAGATGCTTCTTTCTGCTGGAAAAGAATAAGCGGAAGTAAAATGGGTCCCAAAAATGGTCCTGGAAGAAGCCGGAAGGGATGGAAAGCCTCACACAAAGGTTGAACCCAACCCCAGTTATGGGCCAAAGCACCTCAGCAGAGGGGGGCAGAAAGCGCCAACAAAAGCAGTCAAATCTTACACTGAAAACGGCCTTGAGAACAACAAAATACCCCAAAAGAGCAAAGAGTTCAGAAACCTCATTAAAAAAGGGGCAAGAAACCAAAAAAGGCCAAAAAACAAACAAAAAAAACACCCCAAAAAAAA